CCTCCCCACCCCCGATGAGTCAGATGTTGTCCCCTGTGTCTCTGGTCTGCGAGGGGTGTTCCTGTCGCCCCAGGTAGCCGTTGGCTCTCCTCGGCTGCTTGTGGTGCCCCCTGCATTTGGCACGGTGCACAGCAGGAACCGGGGACGGCCTCCCCGAGAGGCGATCCGACTCCTCGGCGTCGATGAAGGCCAGGTCCTCACCCAGGAAATCGAAAGGCCTCGAGTCCTCGTCCTCCGCCTCTGCTTCCTCCCACCCCCTGGGGCCAGGATCCAGACGGGGAGAGCCCTGGGCCTCGGGCGAGGCCTTCTGAACGAGGGCCACACCTCCGCGCTGCGCCTTGTCGTGAATCTCCAGGCTGAGGCGCTGGCGAGTCACTTTGATCTCCGTGGTGAGGTTGGCCGTCCAGTTGGCCGCCTGCGTCGTCAGGCCTCCCATCTGGGCGGGAAAAGAGAGAGGCTGAGCTATTTGACTGGGTGGGGCGTCGCACCCACCCCCCATCTTTAAACCCCCACCCTTTCCTTTTCGATGACATCCAGTCTACCAACCCTCTCTGTTCCCACCCTCACCCATAACACCCACCCCGCCCCTCCACCAACATCCCCCACCCCTCCCACCAACCCCACTCCCCAGCCCCAAAATACATCTCTCCCGATATTAGGCTCCTCCCTCCTCTTGCAGGGGGGAGACAGAAAGAGGGATGGACCGTCCCGTTAGAAACCCCGCCTCTCCAGTGTTGCGTTCAGTGCCCCCAGTCCCCTCGAATTTGGGGAGGGGAGGGGGGGCTTGGAGTGCAGAGGGGGGAGGTGGGGTGCAGGGGGAGGTTGGCGGTCCTTCCTCGAGGGACGGAGAAACAGCAATGTTCTCCACTGCCCTCCCTTCCAATCGGGCTCCTGGGAGGTGGGGTGAGGAGGGTGGTGAGTATGATGCCTACCGTGGGCAAATATCCGACTGCGCCTCGAGGTATTGTGCGTGATTGTTGGGGTGGCGGGGGGAGCACGGTCAGTTGGCCGTGCTGGGAGTGCGACAGTTACCTGAGAGTTGGGACCCCTTCGTCGGGGGTGGGGAGGGGGGAGGAAGGGTGGTGTGGAGGGGGGGTGGGGGGCTAGGGGTGTGAGATGGTGAATCCATGGTGGCCTATAGAATAGTTTAGAACAGAATAGTTTAGGTTAGATGGGCTTCAGATTGGTTTCACAGGTCGGCGCAACATCGAGGGCCGAAGGGCCTGTACTGCGCTGTAATGTTCTATGTTCTATACCAGGGTAATCATGGAAATGCTCACCTCCGCTCGGGTCCTCCTGGACAGAACCCTGAGCCAGTCTCCAATCATCGAGAGGATAGCAGCGAAATAAGCGAGACCGATCAGGATCCAGAACCACACAAGTGGCTTATACCACACTTTGTAAACCCGTTTGGAATCTCCGCCTAGATAAGAAGGGACATTCCAGTCAACGTCAAGAGGACGAGGCCTAGACGGTGAGGTGCCATCAGAAATCTGAGGCGTCCGAAATCAGAACAGGCCATTCGGCCCCTCGAGCGTGCTGCATCATCAAATAACACCATGGCCAACCTGATTGTGGTTTCAGCTCCATATCCGCCTCTGCTCCCTCGCGGCTACAGGAGATTGGGAATTTCATGGTGTGCAACTCACCTCCTGACTCCCCAAAGCCTGTCTACCTTCTACAAGTTAGGAGTGTGATGGAATACCTCCCCCCTCCACCCCGACTTACTCCCTGCCCGCCAACTTGCCCTGGATGGTTGCAGCTCCAACGACACTCAAGAAGGTCGACACCGTCCAGCTCGCTTGATCATCACCCCATCCCACCATCAACATTCGTTCCCTCCACAACTAACGCGCAGTCGCAACAGTGTGTACCACATACACCACACACTACAGTAACCCACCATGGCTTCTTTGATTACACCTTCTAATCTTCTATAGGACTGAACTAATGCAATAGTGTATTTAATTGTTCATCTGGGGAGCTAATTTTTGAAAAAAATCGCATATCTTAAAAAGTGTTTTCTCCGAGATGTCCAATCCTGAATTCTGTTTGGACCTTCTCTGACATCAAATCTTTGCAAACAAAAAGAAAACAGAAGTTGCTGGAAAAGCTCAGCAGGTCTGGCAACATCTGTGGAAAGAAATCAGAGTTAACGTTTTGGGTCGAGTGAGCCTTCCTCAGAGTTATGAGGAAGGGTCTCTCGATCCCGAAACGTTAAACTCTGATTGCTCTGCACAGAAGCTGCCAGCCCTGCTGAGCTTCTCTAGCGATCTCTTTTTTATTTCTGATTCACAGCAGTTCTTTCGATTTAAATTTTGCGTGTGGTTTTAATTTCTCCTGCTTGATGTTGTGTGCAATCCTCTGGTTTTGATGCTTTTAATCTTGCAGCACATCAGCGCTGTGCTACTCTCTGCCTACACCTGAAAGATGAAAGTGGCAGAGGCTTGATACTTAGACCACCTGCAAATTCCCTCTCCAGTGGTATCATTGAGGAGGTTATCGCAAAAGCTCAATCGGATCAGGCAGTTTCAATGCGATTGTGTGAAAGGGAAATTGCATTTGACCAGGATGTAATAGGTAGCATATACGAAGGGGAACCTGTGGTGTGCTGTACAGCAAACTCTTCATTAGCTGGCACCTAAAGAGCCTGGAATATAGCCCTTGGTCGAATATTCTGTATAACCGCAGTCAACCCTGACTAAGCGAAAATTCGAGACAACAATGTCCCTTGAAAAATCTCTGTAAATCATCTAAACGCCTCCTAAAATCAACAGTAAGTTACAGAAATGTAATGCACAGGGGTATACACATCACTGTTATGCTTTATTTACTGCGTAAATACTCAGGCATCACAGCACTGGAAGCATATAATTTGTGCCGGTTAAGACAAACTCCACTGTACTTCAGACTCCGCACACCATTACTAGAATAGAATAGAATCCCCTCAGTGTGGAGGAAGGCCATTCAGCCCATCGAGTCCACACTGACTCTCCAAAGAGCATCCCACCCAATCCCTGCATTTCCCATAGCTCACCCACTTGCACACAATGGGCAATTTAAAGAATAGAATCCCTACAGTGTGGAAACAGGCCCTTCAGCCCCAGGAGGCCACACTGACCCTCAGAGCATCCTATCCAGACCTATCCCCCATCTAACCCATACATCCCTGGACACTAT